TTGTTTAGATCAAATTGGTTATAGTAGGCGTTAACCAATGCTTGATTTATTTTTGTTTAGCTAAATTTTCAAATATTATTGAATAATGTATCTTTTATTGGAAATTAAATTGTCGAATTGTGTTGTTGAATGTTTAAAATTTACACTTCGCTAGCGATAGCGCTATACGATGGTCAAATGTATTCTCTGAATCTCGGGATCTGAGACTCTGAAAGACACTTTTCTGATATTCAATAAGTAGATAAACGCCACTTCTGAGTTTTATAGTAATGCTTTGGATAATAATCTGTGCAAAATTTCATGAAGAAATCTTGTCAAATAAAAAAGCTTTTCTGACAAGAACTTGATTTTGATCGTTCAGTTGACGGCTATATGCTAGAATGGTAGATGAGTTTAAAATTTCAGAGCGATATCTCCAAAACTGAGGCACTAGTTCACGTATATACAGACAGGTCTTAAATGTCTCCGATGTTTCCTTCTAGGTGTTACAAACTTCGTAGCAAACTTAATATAAGTGTTTTTAGTGTAAGTTTAGTGTTTTACACTGTTTTGAAAGTAGGGGTCTGAATTTCCGTGATGAACGAGTTAGAACGTTAAAGTTTATCTAACATAAGAGAAATAAGGTATAAACTGATTCACCAATAAGTTTTACTATGAACCATAGCCTAGCATTTCCGTGCAAATTATGAGGGTAGATTGGTAGGTTAACTAACGACTAGTATACGGAGGAAGGTATAGCCTAGAAAGTCACTAGAGCAAAAGCAAAAATTTATTCTGAACGGACTTTAACTCCGAAAGGATATGATACCTAGGGTTCCATTTTCGAAAAGGGAAATCTAAAATTTATTATCTTTAAGTTATTTAAACTATCACTTAAAAGTATTCTTCTTTCCGAAACAGTCCTTAGATAATAGAGAGGTCTCAATCAATATCACTGTGTTACACCTTACTTATATGAGTAATTGTGTTGCAGCTAACACCACTCAGGTCTGCATATATCTTCTTATGCTCATTTATAACAGAGGTAAATTAATGGCATTTGACATTTTTTAAAAAAACCAGTAGCCTTCCCATGTAAAATATTCAGTTTGCCAGGTAATGGAACCGAGAATAAGCTGACTTTTTCATTTCTACCCGATTTCTACCCGTTTAAAAAGTCCTTAAAAGTACTAATTTAATGAAAAATAAATTAACTTTATGCTATATTCAAAATGATACCCACAATTGCCATACATATATATGTACATAGGCATACATATATGTATATGTACATATGTATATCATCAGCGCGGCTGTAGACAGCAACCAATTGAGCATGATGATTGGAAATTTATCGTTTTTAGGCTGTTGTCCATGCACGTCACTTTCAACACCCACGTGTTCGGGTGGCGTCGCGAAACCGCGAACCAATATCCCAAGCCATACTGTGACCGCCAATTGTTTGTAAGTGCGTTCGAATGAGCGCCATCGCATACCCCCCATAACCGCCAACAACAACAACGAAAGCACCCAAAAAAGTAAAATGCAAACGATGGACCGAAGTTTAAAAATGAAAAATGCAAACTACATCGAAGCGAAATGAAACAGTGGTCTCGGTTTTATTGCCATTGCTTCAAAGTGGCGAGCAAATGACGCGCTGTGTTGCGGTTAAAAATATTCACACTCAATGCCCCACACGCATACACACATGCATACATACGGACATATGATTTGTGCGCTTTGCGGGCGATGCGGTTGAGTGTATAGGTGTGTGTACAGCTTCGAGGTGTTCACACGTCACATGCGAGCAAACTTATATAACTTTGTGTGTATGTATGTATATAAATTTCGTATTGGTCCCCACATATGTAGAGCGAAATTTATACATTTATAAATACACTGTTATTTGTTGCGTTGTCATTTATTTATTTTTAGCGGTAACTCCGCCCGATCCTGTGTACTTGTTTAATGCTAAATTTTACAACATTCGATGGCAAGTAGCAGCAGTTGCAAAGCTTGTTGCTTCTGTTCCACATTCAACGGAATATGTTATAAAATAAACACAGTTGTATACACACACATACAGGGATATGAAGCTATGTGCACATGTAAGGGAAGTGTCTAGGCGCCACGAAGCGCACAGCCTCCATGTTTGTCATTATAAATTATGTGGTTGAATTAATCCAAAATACTAACTCAAAATGATGGATCAGATATGAAAAATAACGTTTCACATAAGCACATATATTTACCAAACCTTACATGTTATTTGTTTGTAATAATGGCTGAATATATGAATTATTACCCTCTGGCTCTGAATGAAATGATTAGAACAATTTCACCGAAAACCAATAAATTATACTAAAATTTTAAATTATAAATCATTATATGCAAATTAACTGATGTTTATTCTTGATGTTTAGGACTTTTTAGAATATTTCGTTTTTCAAGCCTTCAATGATGTTAAATCGGCAATACAGAAATAAAGGAAAGGCAGTACAAAGGGTTAATTGCGGAACTCGACACAGGCTGACGAATATCTCTGTTCGCTTCACGTGGTGAGTTTTTGTACTGTGGGTGCATTGCTTAAGGCAAAGTTTAGATTGACGAAGTTATTTTGGAAATACATGTTACACAAATTCATCTGAAAATTAACTGCTCTTTTCCAACCGTTTGGCGGCAGAGCAGAGAAAAGTTCGCACAGTTTCTATTAAAACAAAAGAAGTAATTTCAGGTTTTAATGAAATAGAATTTTTTGATAATATTCAAAAAAAAATGTCTTATCTGGATTCTGCATAGTCGAAGCAACCATTTGCAAATACTTAAATTCCGTAAAATCCATGTGAACACTGAAGCCGATCTATTATCTAAAAGAGAATGTTACAGGAAAATACTCGAAAATATCAATTGGATGTCTGTTAATAAAGTTACTCATGCTAATACGCTAACAAAGTCAAAGGAACATCCGTCGAATATGTCTTGCATGAATATTTGGACATCCTAAGCCCTTTTTGACTCATTTACTATGGCGCCAATCAATGAACCCCCTGGTTAAATTATGTCAGGGTTATTGGAACTGCTTCGTCATTATTATTTTGAAGGAAAACTTCAATCAAACATAAAATATCGCTATAACCTTCCTCGATCGTGTGTTGAATAACAAAAAAACAAGATTTGCCAAAATTTCTGTTATCCTTCGCAACCTTGTAAAAGGGGATCGTGTGAGTTCTTGACCACTACACCTAAACTAGTTTCCACCGATCCCGTTGTTAAAATAAAACTATTTGATTTATTTTTGAAAAATCGTTGACAGGAGAGAAAATATGCGGTTGAAAATGTTGATGTCAACGATATTGAAATGTACTGTGCTCACTTTAAATCATATTACGAGTATTTTACTGTAATTTTCTTTCAATTAATTTTTTGTAACAAAATGTTTTTTTAAAATCACATACTTAGACAAAACTATATTCATTGGCTTAAATTTAATTAGATATATCCGAATCGTCAACATTTGCAAGTGTGTAGTTTTATAAGCCAAGCATTATTAATTTAAATACTACTATCGTAAAAAGTTAATCGTTTACACCTCTGAAAGAGTAAAATAAAAACTTCGGAAATTCCTGAACGAACACAACACCGACAGCCGCTGTCGCTTGATAGACGAATACTTTCGAAACAGCAGACACCGATGGCGGTATTGGCATGCAGATGCGTAACCTGAAGTTCGGCGGCGACAACAGTGGTCGAGCATGTCAGCAGGGCAACGGTATAAGTTGAGGCACACTTAATTACATATAGAGTTCGACGAAAGTTGGACGGCAGAGTCAGGAGGTATGCGATAAGGTAAGACCCAACATTGTCGAGCAAGAGTATCAAAGCTAAATGCCAAGAGTAGAAGTATGTTGCTCAACTGAGGCAAAAAGACTAACATTGCAAAAACGCACTTTCATCCAAACTCAAGAGTGTTGTTGTTCTTGTTCTTGTTGGTGTGGTGGTATAAATGCAGTGTTCATGCATATGCGCTCATATGATTACGCACAAGGATTTGCATGAAAGTGCATATGTAAATAAATAGATTGGTGGCTTTGCGTTCCCAGCTAGTGCTGCTAATTTCGTGCCACAGCAGCGGCCATGCACACTACAACGGCAAGCGAGTAATTGCCCCTTGAGCGATGCACAACGGCATGTGGGGATTGGTTGGCAGCAGATTGGTTTCCAGTAATATGCAATTGGCTGTGTGTTTTGAGGCACAACTCAGCGACATGGGTGTTTGCATGTGCTCTTGCTTGTTGATACAAAAGCATATTTACTCTCAGCTGCAAGGAATTCAGAGATTTTGCTTCTGGTTTGATATTTTCCAAAAGGAAGCTATTTATGTACATATATGCGTATCACACCAGCATTGTGTGGTAAAGTGGAATTTAATAAATGCAATTGCATATTAATAAGAAAAATACATCATGAACTGCCAATATTTGATAAACTTGTGCAGGGAATTTAAAAATTAGGCCAACAAAGATCTTAATCACATTTCCGATAAATGTTTGTATTAGAGCTTAAATTCAGTTCGAAGCACCTTCAAGCAATGGAGGTTCATTGGTATGATATGTGACAATAAACCAATTAAAATACCTTCTAGGATAGCGAAAATAGAGTAAGATGGGAATAAGGAATACACATTGAGAAATATACATAAGGGTACAAGGTGAATAAGCTCCTCATTTTTAATTTAAACCGAGCATAAATCACTTAACTTGGCATTTTTTGATCTCAAAAACAAATAAACCTACAACTTTGAAAAACTGATATTCTGATACAAAATTTTCTGCCCAGAAAAAAGGTCTGATTTGTTATAGAAACATTAATTTAAAAATTATATGCAATTAATATAATTCATGAAATGTGCTGTGCTCATACAGTACAGCATGTCGTATGAGCTACTCAAAATCTATTAGTAACTGGCTGTGACAGGCCTGTGGTATTAATACCATACCACTTTACCATGTGAGCAATGTAGTATTTTGCTGATAACAATACTATCATATTTCATAGTGGTATTTTAAGAAACACACCTAATAAAAGGTAACGAACTTAGATAAAAGCTCTTGCATGAAAAGGAGGAAAGAAACGCATTTAGTTGAGCACTGCCGAAACAAAGTCCTTAATTGAAGTTTGAAGCCAACATGTGGAAAAACTGCGAGGAATTTAAAAATATAACCATGTGTATAAGAATATGTGCGCGCAGCTTGAATTATCTATTGCCTATGAAACTAAGCTAGTATTTAAATTTACTACATTGATATATGTATCATCAAACGCAGTAAACAAAATACCATAGTATTCGCATTATGGTATTGTTACACAGATGTTGTCTTAGTGGTCACATAGACGTTGTCTTAGCAAAAATTAGCTTTTTTTCCTATGAGACAAACTTTATCGGCAAATTCCTGATGTATATGGTGGCACAATTACTGCGGAGTAAGCCATTGTTATAGCACTGGTAAGAGTGGCTTTGTATCAGTTAGAATTTTTTTGTCGATCGATTTTGTTGATTTGAACATTTTGGAAATTAATATTAAATAATAAAGATAATCTCTGATAGCTTTGGAGCTTTTAAGATAACCAGTTTCGCTTAATAGAAAATCTTAATATTAGCACTTACATACATTATCGTTTGCGCGAAACTAAAATTTTAATTTCAAAATCCTGGTTTCTCATTTATTTGTGAGGTCCGTGACTTGTAAGGAAAATCGAAAATAATTTTAATGTATGAACAACGTTTAGTTAGTTACTATTTTGTATTTGTATATGGCAGAAATACAAAATACCGATATTTGCTTGTCCTGAATAGGTTATATTAAATTTACCACGAAGTTCATAACTCCCAGCAGGAAATATCGGAGATCATATAAAGAACACACAAACGATCAGCATGACGAGCTGAGTTGATTTAACCTTTCCGAACTAGTCTCTCAGTGTTTGTTATACCGACTTAAAATTTTGCACATGCCCCCGCTGTTCTCCACAAGAAACTGATTATTTATCAGAACAGCCGATATCGGTCATATATAGCATATATCTGCTTTACAAATCGACCAATCAAAATTAAGTTCTTGTTGGAAAAAACGCTACAATCTCCGAACAGTTTAAACCGAACCACACTGATATATCTGACACTCAAACTGAACGATAAACATCAAAGTAAAGGTCTTCAGAAAAGATATATTTTCTTTATTAATTAACCTTAATTCGATTTTAAAGGTGCTTGCATCAAAAACCCAACGACAAAGAACGGTTACATCTGCAGATTAAGTCTATATGTGCATAGTTGCTATAAAAATGCCCCTGTGAAAGATATTATAGCTTCAGTGCAGCCAAAGTTAACGTTTTTTCATTTTTTTTATCCATCATTTAGTACAAAATCTAAGACCTCGGCGTTAAATGTACATTCCTGGCTTCATTCGTAAGCTTGTGGAACAATGAAGTGTCTAGCATTTACACACCTAATCACAATCAAATACGGCAAAAGGACTTGCACACACAAAAGGGTACACAGGTAGAAAAAGGTGACACGGTGAGCACGGCAACCAAGTACAGGAACAATTATTGGCTGATTTAAGAGTAGCGACACGTTATTAAGCTTGGTGCTTTGTGAATTCACCAAAAACCTGTAGAAATTCGTACAGATGTTTGTATGTAAGTATGCTTTGAGATTGGAAATAAAAGGATGCAAAATTTATCAAAGCAATAAGTAGGTAGCCCGAAAGAAATATATATTTACAAAAGGAAAGCTTCCCAGTCCGCAGCGATAACATGCGAAAAAAAATAAATGAGAGTAAAGAGTAACTTCAAAAAGAAGGTGAAGCGAAAGCATAGGAGCCGTGGAAAATGATTGTAGAAAAAATGAAAACGAGGTGAAATGCAAATCGCCAAACAGCACGAGGCTGCTGTGCCGCGTGCGACCAGGCCACCGCGCGAGAGCCAATTCTTTGCATACGCCAAATATTTACATCGAAGATCTATGCGACTTAAATTAGTTCAGACAATAAAACGAATGACAAATTTGCACACAAACAGCTAAAGGAAAATTGCATAAATAAATTCCGAGTACTTGTAAATGGCAAACAAAAAAATTATGGTGGAAACAGTTATGAGCACAACGAATAAATGGAATTGACAAAGTGCCATGAGGCGAGAAATGAAAAATACGCTTTTCTCAGACTTACACTTGAAAGCAATTTGAAAGTATATAGTGCGCATACCCCGCAAAGGATTATTTAAATAAAGTTTTTTTGTATTTGTATGGCATTGGTTGGATACCCATTTTAATATAGTTTTTATATAGTATTGACATATAGAATAAAATATATGTTATCATGTTTTTGGATATAACAATAAATTAAATATACCATATATAAGATAAGAAAGATATTTTAAATACTCTTTTTAACGGTTCGTTCCTTGAAAATGAATTCAGTGACTCCAAATATTTTCTGAATAAATGCCTCGACATTTTCGACAACCATTTTCAGATATCCAAATATGTAACATTATACATTAAAACACAATACATTCTACTTAAAAAGGCTAGATGGACTGAACAGTCTTTGAGCTAAGGATTTGGCAAATTTTGATTTCAACGGTTAGGTTATGATGGCTGATCCAGAAATCGAACATCGACTACTACATACAGTTTTTTTTTTTTGAAGCCATAAAAATATAGCTTCTGTATTCGCTTTTATAAGTCCGCAAAGCGCCTTGTATCCAAAAAAAATCGATGCGATATCTGAAATTGTGAGCTCCTAAGTTTTAAAGTCTTGATCTCGCAAGCGCGGGACAATCAAGAAGGAAGTGTTGAGATCTTTCCACCTCGTTTTCTTCTATATAGCTTCTGCAACTGGTGTCCGGTAAGACGCTGAGATGGTGGGAGATTCTCAAACTTATTGCATGGCCTGTCAGAACCCCCACAACTAGGGTGATGCTAACCTGACTGAGAGAAAAGCGCTCATTGGATCTCTTGCGATCAATCTTGAGCCAAAGGGTCTTTTTACAGCACATGTGCCGATTGTAGCCCAGCGCTGGCCAAGTTCTTACTGATAGCGGAACTAGAGTACCTTACCTTGCTTTCCTCATCAGCTTCAGAGCTTGGTTTGACGACTCTATGATCAAAAAGATCCGGTGTAAAGAAGTGTGTGAGGATTTCCGACTGTTCAGAAATGTCTTCATTCAAAAACCCAAATTCTCTGAGTCTGATGGCAACTTTGGATGGTAATCGATGAAAATAATTTCAGTAAGCCCCAAAAAATACGGACTAAATCCTTGCCTGTACAAGCCAGTACTATAATCTTTGTCAAATTTTTAAATCGGACCATTATAGCAAATAGCTGCCAATCAAACTGACCGATCAAAATCAAGATTAAAATCTTCATAAGAAACAAATTTTAATTAAAGTTTTTTCGAATCCAACAAACTAGTTAGCTACTAGCAAACCGTTTTCTGTTGGATGCAAACCGTTAACAGGTTTTCAGGTTTAGTTTTAGTTACTACAAGAAATGCAACTGTGAAGGGTGTTTTGCATCGCTGCAGTCGAAGTGAACGCCGTTTCTTGTTTTATTTTTTAAATATAAACCATTGCTGTTTCAAACTTAAAAACAAAAAATTATTCTAATATTTCGAAATGTTTAAGGTGTAACTAAAGGTGGCAGCAACATAAGCAAAGTCGTGCGACACCCCAAGCGCTGCTGTTACCAGCAAATATTTGCACGGTCCATGTTACAATGTCGGTTTCACACAAACTGTTTTGTCCGTCGCAAGCAATTTTGTTTGCATTTGCAAGCTCTCTGACATATACTCTATATATACATATCTATATAGTCAGTGCACAACATAACAACTGCTTTCATTTTATTTATTTGTATTTTTATTTATATATTTCATACAATTTTTATCGTTGTACTGCTTTTCTCCACGGCAAAAGCGCAATTTCTTCACTAAGCAACTCAATGTTCCGGGCTCACCGCTTCAAGTGCTGTAGACGACGTCTTGTGCGCTTGTAAGATTAATGCCATTCGAATTGTGCGACCACTCACGCCCTCTTCTATGGACACCGTTAGCATTTGCCCAATGCACTTTTTGTCGCCGCTGTTTCCTCCTTTTTGTTCACCAATATTGCATTTAACTTACGCTCCTACAGTATTCTGCTGAGCGTTTTATTATTCCAGACTTTTTATTTGATTTCGTTTTGTTTGTTTATTTTTAGCATTTAATGCTTGTTGAAAACTTAAGTCACGAACGAAGTTAATCAAAAGAAAAGCGCAAAATTGTATGCGAAATTTTAGTTTCCAGTATTTTCGAATTTCTTCGCAAATTTGCTGCTATTGCAACTTCTATATTTCTATTGTTTAATATATATAGAAGCATTTCGTATATTATTTATTGCGAATGCATGAAAGCAAGCAGCTGTGACTTTTGCTTTCACAGAGAAATTTCTTTCAAAGTCGTGTGTGTTGAGGCATGAAAATTAGTTCAGTTAAATTTTAGCCCTTTGTACTGCGCTAAATTGCATCATTGGCTGGCTTTTTACGCTTTTCTACACCTGCCAAAATCATTTTTCGCGCAAAAGTTGCAGAATTTTTTACTTGAGGAATTAAAATAAAATTTCGGTAGTTATCTTAATTTAAATTATTTACGTAAGATAAGATAATAAGGTATAAAGATTTATTCAAGTATATATATATATTTAAAAATGATATAAAGTCGAATAAAAGGAATGAAATTACTATATTAGGGACTAGTTTCATACCTTAACATCTTTTATCAGGGCTAGATATATAATATTATATATAAATACTTTCCTTCAGATCAAAAATTCTGATAGTTTTTGAAATAGCGTTATTTTAGAAGTGGGCGTAGTTGTAGCTCTAAGAGCTTATTCTAATGTTTACCAGCTCAGAAAGCTATTTGAACTCAAATATTTCTATTGCTAAGTGTCTTATTGATTTAAGACCTGAACTGAACTGAAGGTGAAAAATGCAGATGCGTATACATACATATCCCTATTGGGTGTTATAACTGCTTTTAGTTTAAAAAAAATTTGATGTTAAGCTTTGCAGTAGATATTCCATTTTTGTTGAATTATACCTAAGCCGAAGTTGCCTATATGGTATGTCTCAGAATCCACTTGGAATTGACCGTTCGGTCATTCCCTTCTATGTTGCTTTATCCGGGATTTACGTTCCTAGACACCTTGAGGTTCCATCGTGGTGATTCAAAGTAGCAAAAAAGACCGAATGCAAGGATTACCTCTCGGTTTATGTTTGTGATAAGGGACAATACTCTTAAAAACACCACACTTCATCACTTAAGCATGATGCTTAAATGCTTTCCCAAGCCAGTTGATTTATGAGATTTCAGTGAGCTCGTAAGCTTTGCTTAAACGGTAATACAGTAAAGTCGAAAAATGTGTTTCCACTAACACAGGTTTCTTGATATAAGCCTTTGAAGAGCATGTTGTGCAATTTGTTTTTTTTTTTCTCTTTCTTTATAAAGCGCTTTCCGTCCCTTTGCTTCAAAAAATTCAAATTTAATATAATTTCACTGTCACTACACAAACTTTAAAATAAACATATTTTTATAAAAAAAGTCTTATATAGCTCGCAGTCCCATCATTTTGTGTTGAATATGAAATATGTCTGATTGTTAAACACTTCCAACCACACAGATTTTCGATATTTTTCAGTTGTCTTAACCGCTTCTAATTAAATAGAAGAAATTTATTAAAGTGCAAGTGATATAAAATTTTGTTGTATAAAACCTTTATATGCGTAAACGCATCAAATTTTACGACATATGTCATTAGAGAATGGCCATAAGATAATGCCGCATAATTGACATTTGCATTTGCAATCAATTAAATGCAACACAATTTTGCCGCCTCAGTGCAAAATTTCATAAATCATCGATATCATACTTGTACAATGAATGCCACAGCCTAGTTGCTAAACGCTAGCCGCAGAACCAGCAACAACAGAAAGTATTGCTTCGATGATTTTAAATATGCTTTTATGCGAACAAACAAATTTATTCACCATCCATGCAAAATTGCATTCATATTTACCAATTTACAAAAGCACACATACACCTTGCCACCATCACCCTCCAATGCATATGTATACATATGCTGAACCAAATGTATGTATATGGGCGTAATGTAGTGAAGGCCGTGTTGGACCAGAGGGCAGCCGCAACGCTTCATAAATGCTGCTTAAGTGGCTCGTAGAATACCACCAATACAGTCGAGCAATATATACTCGCCGAACCGAAATGGATGACCAATATTAGCCATATACTGTAGGTATATACATACATACTCGTATATGTCCATTAATATACATGGATAACGTGCCCGATCGGATGGCCGTGTCGGTTACAACTACTACTACAACAACGGTCGACCGTCTAATTACAATCAATTTTGGGTAATAATTCTCCCAAAAAGCTACACGTTTCACATTTTAGTGTTTGGAAATTTCATGGAATCCATTGTGATTAAGCGCACATACGCCATCACATATACGCACAAGCGCACACAGTAACAAGCTCATTTGTTAGGCTTGAAATTTATAAAGCACATTCTGCAATCGCCTTTTCCACAGCGCGAACATGTTTTATGAATTGCCAAAATTCATGAGTTCGATCAGTAATGCAATTAATCATAATGCTACTGTGATATGAGCAGCTACGGTAGCGAGTGATGAGTATTGCTGTGAGAGTAGTAACAGCTCTATGACCTTATGAGCTAAATGAACTGAATGAGCTTTATTTGTGTTTCAAACCGTTGCGATATGCTTTTGAGAATACATTTATACATAAACATAAAAAAATATATAAAAAATTTTTTACAAGTTATTGTCCAAACTCACAAATGTGCTGAAAAATCAGACACTATCAAAACACTAAGGATGGTTCGAATTATATATCGCATCTTTTAACTCCGGTCGGAGCGTAGGGATAAAATAAAAGTATTATGTTAAAGCCGTTCCGATTTTTAGTGAGTTGCGTTAGACAATTCCAATTAGTATGAAAGTCTTTCAAGCCGGCATCTACCATGTGTACCATGTACATTGCATAGTGTATGCTCTAGCAATGCTCTAGTTTGCAAAGGACTGCAGTATCTGTATCAACGTTTTTGTTAAGGACCACAATTCGCAACCGTATAAAAGTACTGGAGTTAAAAATACGAAATTTAGTGCTGACTGAGACAGATTTAGGGGATCAAATGGTGTTTAACTGAACAAACGCACCGCGCGCTTTGTTTATGTGGTTGGTAATGTCTTCAGCAGAACCTCCGTTGGTGGTAATTTTGCTCCCAAGTTAG